TGGATGCAGTGGATTGTCCATGATCTATCAAATTTCACGTTTTTCTAATGGCCTTCTTCAGCGGATGGGGTTTCCACAGTTGACTTTTCATTAGCTTGCTAGACCCTACATAATTGATGTTATGATTTTATGAGTTTTTCTCGTTTGGAGTTGACTAATGTAATCATTTTGTAATCAAGATCAGGCCTGTCCCAATAATTACATTATTGACTTATCCTACAATATATATGATATGTAATTAGCACCTGTCACAATATCGACATAAGAATATCTCTAACATTTTATCCAACGCGATGTCAGAATAAAAAGCAGGGTTTCCCCACCATTACTATGTTCCCTGTGCCAAATTGTTTAATATTTTGCAATTGCAATCTTTGCTGACATGTTTACCCTGTTGTGCATTTTTTTTTCAGATTCCAATTCCAATGTCTGAAAATTTTAAACAATTAAAAGGTCAAAGCTCTCAGGGCCCCAGTAGCTCACCTGGTGGTATGGGATGTACCAAGGCTGAATCCTTGCTGCAGCTTGCTTGCTGGGTTCAAGTCTGACCTTATTTAAAACAAAATAAAAAAGTTCACTGCTCTCTGAAAGGGTGTAATTGCATTATTATGCTAATCATTATATCAGTGGCATAAAAGGGTCTTAAAATGACAATAATTGTAATAATTTGCACGCCATTTTCTTCATAAATCTGGCCCTCAGTGATTGCTGTGTAGAGCAGGTACAACAGCTTTTTTTTTATAATAGTGTCATTGTTGGTCTCCTGTGTCAGGTCCTGAGAGAAGCCCAGAATCTGTATCTTTTGTTGATTTGTTTTTATATGACAAATAAATAGTCTAATCCCAAATCTGTTTTCTGTCAGGTGATGAATGTGAATCTGTCTGAGGGTGACAAGGTGGCGTTTGAAGATGTGGGCCACAGGGAGAACACCATGCTGGCCAATGAGTCCATTCTGATGAGGGGGTTGGTAGTACGAAGTCACAGCAATCAGATCTCTATCCGCTTCCAAAACCAGAGGTCTCAGGTTGGATCGGTCCTGCTCAGATACCAAGGTAAGTGTAAATTACAGAAGTTCCACATGCGTGCTTTCTACAAGTTAATTAACACTCAGTGGTGGAACTAACCTCACCATGAGTTAAAGTAATAACAAACACACTGATAAATAATTAACTTTGAAACATAACTTCCATTTCAACTATGGTAAGTGGTTATTTTTTAAGGTATAAAGCACAAGTATGTGTTCTCAAGGCATGCGCAGTGATGCCTCTGTTGCCTGTAACATATGCACCAGAGGATAACTATTTCAATAGACACCGAAACAAGGCACTAACATGTGCGAGGTGATGCAGTCCGGTAGATACCGGTCATATACGAATGGGTGCCATATTAGCAGCACTGTGTTTTGGTACCCAACCCTTACTTCTAGTGCAGGACTCAGAAAGCTTTACTATCAAAAGAACCACATGCGGCCTGGTGCAACTATCACAAGGATGAGTCTGGAGCTCCGTCAGATCTTTCTGGATACTTTTATCACAATCAAGTCAAGTCCAAACTTTAAACAAAATATATTTTCTCTCATGTCAAGAGGATTATTAAAGTTACAGTTTTGCCATTTTTGACTTACAATCGCACGCAGTGATAGAGCATATTGAAGAGACAGAAACACCCTTCATTTCAGTGGATTATGTTTGCTTGTGGTTCCTTATGCTCAGAAACATTGCATTAGCTGTGGAAAATGTCATTTAAAAGATGAAGGGCTGGACTGAATGGAAAATTTGAAATGTGCTATGTCTTAGCAGTGCCATGCCATTGTTCCGACTGCCCACTATTCTGAAAACTGCAGAAGTCCGAAAAATGTCCCATTGGACCATTTGTCTGACAGCCCGTTATTCCAAAAATGAACGCCCATTGTTCTTAAGACCTGTTGTTCGTAATGCCAAAATTCCACAAGGCACAGCTTTATGAGGTCTGATTTCCTGCTAATTTAATCTGCTCTGTGGTGCTTGACGCGTGTGGGTCGCAGTTTCTGTCAAAAAATATACCAATAGTGTACTGTCCACGTAGCAGATCGGAGAGATGCTGGGACGTGCCGGCATTAGTGGAATCAGAAGCACAGGAACGAGAGGGATCCCTACTGTGCCATAATTTGAAGCAGTGTGCCACTGACCAGCTGCATTGTTTGACGAGTTGATAGTGAAAAAATAAAAATGGGTCCCTGGTATATCATGGAAGTCTTATGACTTTTTGTTATCTAAAGCCCGGACCACATTGACAAACACTTTGTTACAGTTTCTTTGATCCATGTTAGCAGAGAAAACTTCAGTATAGGTAACTCTGAATATGAAATAATGATAATTACTACAACATATGCTAGCAGTTTGTCAGTAACCTGCATGTTCTCATCTGGAATTAGAATTATATCAACACTTCCATTTTAAATCTAAGAAACAAAGCCATTTATACTTAAAAATGTGTTCTTAACTGTTATTAAACTTGGCCTTAAAGGACCAGTGTGCAGGATTTAGTTCCAGATTGCAACTAACTGAATACCGCTCGCTTTGTACCTGATGACCTGGGAATGAGAACAGGCTATGAAGTGTATCGGGAAAAACTATGGTTGCTGCGAAAATCCTGACTGTTAAAATGTAAGCCTACCTGTCTTGTCGTGTAGCCGAGTGTGTGTTATCACTTGTTAACATAATGCACGGTTGGTGTCATACAAAATGGCTTGTGCTATCAGTTAGCCACATGATTAACAAATACATTATCTTTGTAACTGCTTTACTTATCAATTATTGTACAGGAGCTGTCCGACAGACTGGGATTTTCAGAAAGGCTTAATCCTGCAGCCTGTTAATGACAGAGGAGTGAGCTAAAAGTCATTTTCTGCAGCTGCCTTTCTTTCTTTGGAGTGAAAATCCATAAAGGGTTTTGTAAATCTGTGATGGTGTTTTAACAGCCCTCAGGAGTTAGGGTCAGCTCTGGTCCTGCTGGTCAGATTTCATCCCATGAAAACTGTGTAGAGGATTCCACTCCTTGATATCTCTTCATTTATCTTTGTTTCCATTGATTGTACTCCAAAGCGCAGATGGCATGTGCAAACTTCTCCCCTGCTAAATAGTGGCATGAACATCCTTACCTGCTGCTTAAAAACAATCTGTGCTGTGTTTGCTAGTTCCTCACCACCACTGGCCAAATGGGAGAATAACTAAATAAAGCTTTGATAGTTTGTGTGTGTGTGTGTGTGTGTGTGAGAGAGAGACTGTGGGTACTGAGAGTGGTCGATCCTCTAGAGGCAAGCTGCACTTTACAGCAGACTCTTTGCTTCTAAAATGTGTTTAGCTCATCTGGTACCTTGGGCTCACACATGATAGGAGCGCTCCTGCTTTTGTAGCCTGTGATGTTCTGGATCGCCTGCCACATGTCTTTGGTGTTGTCTGTGTCGGTGTTCTCTCTCCAGTCTCTGCTGGTGCCTCCACTTTCTCTCCTTGATGCCAGCTTTTAGCCCTCCTCTGGCGATTCTGTATGTTTCCTTGTCACCTGACTGATGGCAGCTTTTTTGGCTCTAGATGAAGCCCTCACCTCTCCATCCATCTAAGCTTTCTGATTAGGAAATTATTATATTGTCATTGTCATCACCACATTAACACATTTGCTGAAGGATGATGCTATTGATGATGTATATTCCTCCAGATTGATGTAGTTCTCCTGAGTGGCAGCCTCTTTAAACTTGTGTCAGTCTGTGCACTTATGTAGAGTCATGTAGAGGTGCATTTTGAGTTAATGCGTAGGAATACACAAGTTCTATAGTTTTCTGCAACTCCCTTCCAGAGCAGTGCATTGCTTCTGTACTAGGATCCCTGTCTGCTTCGCCAAACTGGGGGCACAATGACCGTTGTGACTTTGGATATTTACCTCATACAACACCACTTCAACTCCCTTCAAGACTGGTTCTCTGTGCAGTTGAGGTAAACAAATGCCCCTGTCACTGTCCACAAAATTGTGGTAACAGCAAATATTGACTGAGCCAAGTCACATTTTAATGTGTTGTTTAAGAGGACAATGCTGGCAAATGTATGGATGTGTTGGTCAAACACGGGTAGAAACAAAGTATGTTTATGCTCTTTGTGAGTGGTTTGGGCTCTGTATAAATGTGTGAGTTTGCAGGGGGGAGATTGATTTTAAAAGCCAGAATCAGGACAAAACAACTTAATCCTCTCACCGTCAAATACTGGTCGCCTCTTTCTCTCTCTCGCTCCCTCGTATTGGTTTATTAAATTCTCTCCTCTGAGACAATCTATTTTTTGTTCTGCCCTGCTAGAAGCTGGATCAGCAAAAAAGCCCCAGCCTATAGACCACACACACAAACATACACACACACACACCACATACTGTATGGCCCATATAACTATTCCCAACCCTGTTGAATTGATAGAAGCATGCAGTAGTGCAGCCTATAGTTAAAGGTCTTTTGAAAGTTTCAACAACTTTTTGAAGAAGTAATAGTAAATGATAGTTATTATTGGTTTAAAGAGAATTATAAGTTATAACTGTCCCTGTTTGCTCAGCCCTCCTCAGCTAAACTATACAAGTTAAAGCTCCCATACCTTGAGCTAAAATTTTCCACACATATACTCCACAAAACTCCATTTTGTGCTTCACTATTCAAATCCCTCCAGGAGCTGGCCTTCCATCCCTGGCTTTCTGTCTTAAATACTGGGGAAAAAAAGAGTGTTGATCAATACATTCAGTGTTTTTGGATTGCGATGGCTTGAGCAGTGAGGGAGCGCGTGTGTTGGCTGAGATAGGATTCATCACATTGAGTTGCTGCCTGGTGCCACTTATTGTTCCCAGGCAGAGAAAGGAGAAAGTGCAGGCCAGGCAGCAGTGGAGGAGAATGACAGACAGGCGCCATGGATATGTGATTGTGTTCATGATTGAACATGCTCAGAACATTGCTCATGCTCACATCAGTTTGTGATGTGTGACATCAGAATGCTACCATACGGCCAATACCAAGGCTGACTTCATAATAAATGTTGTGTAATTCAGTGTGTGGCAATATACAATATCTGACCCAGAGATGCCAGAGACACTTTTACCAGCCAAAATAGTTGTTTGTCTGCTACAACATGTAACAAATAAAAGGTAATGATGTGATTGACATTTACTGATTTTATTACTGACTCTGTAATCAGTTATGGCAATTGAAGGACCAGTCTGTAGAATTTAGTAGCATCTAATGGTAAGTTGCAGGCATCCCTTGACCAAACTATGTGCAAAGGAGAAAATTCACAAAAACATAAAAAGGTCCTATCTAGACACAGTGTTTGGTTTGCCCATTCTGGGCTACTGTAGAAACATGTCGGTTCAACATGGCAGACTCTGTAGAAGAGGACCCGCTCCTTATGGAGATAAAAACAGCTCATTCTAAGGTAACAAAAATACAATGATTCTTATATTGAGGTGATTCTACATGAATAAAACCATACCTAGAAATATTATATTCCATTTCTAACAATAGATCCTCCATGTTACACACTGGACCTTAAGCTGTCAGCCAGTTAAATTAACGCACCCTGACTCAATTTGATACACACAGGGGTTTTGCTGCTACAGCATAACACCCTGTTCACATAGCCCTCTCTCCAATGGCTACCTGTGCCTTTGACAAAAAATTATATGTAAATAGATCTTTTATTAAGATTTAAAGGTATCATTGTTGTAGGCGTAAAATGAAAAAAGTTAAATATATGTAGCCATTACATGCCACACAAGAAAATGTTTTAACATTTTGTAATTAAAATGTCTTTAATTAATTAATTAAATATCTGACTCTTCAGCAGATAAATGCTCCACTATGTTCACTAGTCTCTAGCTGTGTGTGTCTGCGGTTTGCTG